AGAGTGGGGAGCAGAACAGGCAGACTGACGAAGTACACTGCTGAGGGGAGCAGCTGGCAGGTCAGGAGAGGTCTGCCACGCCTTGTAGGTCACCTCCCTGGCTGGGAGTCGAACTCATGCTGAAGTGGCTTTACCTTCATAGTGCTGCACTTTAACCCGCTGTGCCACCAGGGAGGGCTCAGAAAATATTATTTTTAAAGTGCATTTCAAGGGAGATTTGGGGAGGGAGTTCGGCAAAGCTGAAAGTTGGTATATTGATTCCAACCTGATTTCATTGGCAGAACTCAATCTTATGACTCCATTTAAATGTGAGGGAGTAGAATAGGTCTGTACCTAGGAGGCAAAGGAAACAAGTTTCGATAAACCCATCTAGTCTTTAACACGATCTACAGTCTTCTCTACCGAATACCTGTTTCCAACTTCCTCCCACAAGAATCTTACCCTGTTACCACATGTAGCTCAAAAGTCAAGATCACCAGTGATGCAGTAGTCTCCCACTCATTTGACACACACACAATATCTGATGGCACAGGGGCAGAGCAACAACACATTGAAACCCTAGTTTAGAAAGGAGGAACACAAAACACAGCAGTCAGGAGTCAGTGGTCCACAGCAATTCCGGGATCCAGAGGGAAGACCATGATGGCCATCGTGAGAGTCTCTATTCTACCCTGATTCTGCTTTCTGAGAATCTGAGTCTTGTCCTCCCACTGTTTTCTGTAGCCTCCAATCCTTCCCTCTTGGTTTTATGTTCACTCATTCAGAAAGATCCGTGACCTACCGCCACGTGGTAGGGGCCTGTTTCCAGTGTTGGACTTAAGGCATGGACTAGACTAAGTCCCACTCCTTAGTGTTGCTTTGATAAAGGGGATAGGAAGGAAGAGGTAATGGAGGTAAAGCAGACAATAAGCAAGGAAAATAAATAATTCCAGGCTATAATAAGGGCTGCCAAGAAATAGTGCAGGAAGAGGGTAGGTAAATGAGATTGAAAAAGTAGACCCAGCTCACGTAAGTCCTTGTGGGCCCGATCAGACTTTCTATGTATTATAAAGGCCTGGGCACCCAGGAGAGAGTTTTATGCAAGATTAAAGGATATGGTTATATTTTCAAAGACCATCCTGGATGCTGCCTGGAAAAAGATCACAGAGTAGGCAGGAACATAGTGGAGCACCAGGGAGGGTGAAGCTCTAGTCCAGTTGAAAAGTGTCTGTGGGTTAGATAAGGAGGAAGACTGCGGATATGCGATAACTATAGAATCAATGAGATTGCTGAAGATACACTCATCTTCAGGGCAAGGTAAATAAAAGAGGAATCAAGAATAACTCCTAATGTCTTTTTCTAATTTCAGCTATAGCTATACTTAGCTAGACCCAAGTAACAGAAAAACTGTCTTAATTCTACAAAAAAAAATAAATAAACACACACACACACACAGAGAACAAGTCAGAAAACCCTGATGAGTAAGTCGGAGGGGGGAGGGAGGAAGCAGATAAACAGATTCATAATGTCAGGAAATGGCCCAAACCTAAGATCCCAGAGACAGACAAAAATTTGAATGGTCTAGACACCCTGGACCCAGGGTCCCAGTAGGTCTTAAACAGGAGAGAGGGCTGGGATGGTCAGCAGCATTTGCAAAGTAGAGAGAAAAGGATTCACCCACCGGATGTGTTAGAGGCAGAGCATCAAATTCAAGTGACTTCCTAAAAGGAAAGTATGACTCTCAGCTGCAGACAAAGACGCAAATCCAAGAAACAAATTAGATCTGAGATGGACCCAGTTAAGTATGAAATGGGCACAGTCACAGAATTGTATAAAGAAAAAGGGGAATGAACAGCTTGTTCTCGTGCTTGCCGAGGTATGAAAGGGACGAGCTGGCCCTTTCAGCAGGAGGCTACTAGCGTGGTGAACACACATCACACTGCCCACAATGGTGCACCTTCACGCCACACCTGCACCTTCAGCAGCTCACAACCATGCTGGGAGATACTACTACTGAAAAGCCCACAGTGTAACTGGGAGCCTGCACCAGGGAGCCACACTGGCTGGGTGCAAACCCCACTGGCCGCCACGCAGCTGCGGTAGGTGGCCTCTGACTGTGAACATAGAAGGCCACTAAAAGGTCTGGATGAAGCGCTTAGGGCAATGTGTGGCACAAAGCGGTAGTCAATTAGTCATCCCAGCTTCCCCTTTCGCAGGAAAAAAACTAGCGGCTGAAAGTTACCTAACATCGCTTAGTGACAAAGTGATAAACCACATCTGTCCTCCAGACCTGGGTGCTAAGCCACCTTCAAGGTTGCGTTGGCTAACTGGCCTCCAAGCCAGGAGCTAATAAGCATGCCATTGAGTGGTCCATCCACGCTTATGCTGAGTCAGGACTGGTCCTAGGACTCTGTTTAAGCAAAGGAAGCTGGTAGAAATAATGCCAGCTCCAACCCAATCCTTCGCAGAGCCTGGCATCCTGTGCTGTGTGCTCCTGGGAGCACCCTCGAGGGCTGATCTAGAGAGTCCATACGGAAAGAAGACGGGCTTGACTGGGTCCATGTGCCTGCTGAGTTCAACTTTCCAAAATTTTAGTGGAACCATCTAGAACATTCCAGACCCTGCCACCCCCTGCCCATGACCCCATGGAAGATCCCAAACAGGCCAGCAAAAGAACTGTTCAGCTAAACCACAATGGTCACAGCTGCCAAGTTGCATGAACAAGAAGGTGGTGAGAATGAGGTGGCAGAATGCCTCGTAGCCTGTGCGCACTCAAGCCCACGCCCGGATGCCTCAAGCTAAAGGAATGTGAAGAGCATCCATCGCAAACCGCCAGCGAGGTGTTCCCAGATGAGGCCACAGCAGCCCATTGAACCATCTCTTT